CGAAAAACCAAACAAACAAACAAAATATGTGTGTATATATATACAGATGTATACACACACACACACACACACACACACATATATGTATTAATGGCAATCCCCTTTCTTAGAGCTTTTGATTTCATTAAAGTGTGACCCAGGCATCTGCATTTGTAAAAGGGCCTCTCTTCTGACAGATGCAGCCCCAGTGCAGAGGTCGGGGTTTGGCTCAGGTTGTGCCCTACCCTTACTCCCCTCTCTTCATCGTGAGCTCTTTGATCAGTATTGTAGGGGAGGCAAAATTCCACCTCCTTTTTTGTGGTTTCCCAGCTGGGCCTGAGGATTAAATTGACCTAACATAGATTAACAGGAGAAAACCATACAAAGTTATTCAATAGAAGTTTTACGTGGCACAGGAGCCCTCATACAAAAATGAAGACCCAAAGAAGCACTTAAGAGAGTCAATCACATACTGAATTGCACAAAGAATGGTAAGTCGTGAAATGTGAGAAGGTAAAGGGGCTTGAGCGCCGGTAGTTAATTGGCTAGAGAAGTGATGAGGCAGATAAGGGTTCGTTTGACAAGGTTGGTTTGTACCAATTTCCCTCAGCTTCAACTTCCTGTCCTTGATGATAAGAATGTTATTCTTTTTGGTACAGGGCGGACATCTTTCACATGGGATTTTTGTGCTCTGCTTCTAAGAAACAGAATGAAGGTCAGAGTGTTGCACCTGCTGCTTTTGTAAAAGCGTCTTTAATTCAAAATAGTCATTATGCCAGAGCGGTGTATTTTGGGGCGGCATATTCTTGACTTCTTCAGTACAGAACTGCATAAGTATTCATAGCAGCCCAAATCCCCAGGCCCTACCGCATAGATGTGGAGTAAAGCCCTGAGCTGTTGAGTAGGAAGTAGAAAGGACGCTGAATAAAGTACAGACACCAAAGTACTGAATTAGAAGCCGCAGACCTGGGGGCTAATCTGAAGTTCGTCCCTCACAAACTGTGTAACCTCAGAGACAGCCACTCTCTGGGCCTCTGTCCCCTCCTTTGTTAAAATGTATAATGGGAATGTCTGGAGTCTCGGTTTTAGCTTTGGGGAACTCTAGATCTGGTTTCATTCCATCTTATTCAAGGACAGGTGTAAGGAGTGTATTACTCTGGGTTAAAAATAAGTCTTCTATAGTAGTTCCAGAGAAGGCACTAAAAGCAGCTTTCTCCCATTAGATAAGCGGCCTTTTACTCACAGACACGGAGTGACAGAGTCAGGTTAAAACACCAGCAGGCTTCGCTGTTGAATCCCATCCTCCTAAGAGCCAGCGGGGAAAAAGAGGAGGAGCCCTGGCCAAATATAGGAGCTTAAGGGGTGTAAGTCTCACCACTCCTGGCAGGATCCGAGGCTTGCTCAAGGTAGAGAAGGATGCGTGAGCCCTTCTGCTTACAGAATATCCTCAGGAAACTGGCTTTGTCCCTGCTCACGGAGAGTAGAAACTGAACTTCCTTCCTTTGGCAGATCTCAGCAAACCTAGATCTGGTCATCAGAATGTTGCTTTAGCCAGTGGTTCTCAAACCTTAGCGTGCATCAGAATGACTCAGAAGGAGTGTTTAGACCCAGACTGCTGGCCTGCACCCCCAGAGTTTCTAATTCAGTAGGTCTGAGAATTCGCTGTTTCTGTTGATCTGGGGACCACACTTTAACTCCACTGCTTAGGCCATCTTAGGAAGAACCAGTAGGTTCTCCCTCTACAAGGCAGTTGCGATGCCTTTGGGCCACTATTATCCTTCTGAAAACTTCTGAATCCACTTGTAGAGTGTGTGTGTGTGTGTGTGTGTGTGTGTGTGTGTGTGTGTGTGTGTGTGTGTGTGTATGAAAGATGTGTCTACTCTTTAGGTTTCAGCAGGATTAATGTACGATACTATTGGCTGGGCGCAGTGGTTCACACCTGTAATTTCAGCACTTTGGGAGGCCGAGGCAGGCGGATCACTTGAGGTCAGGAGACCAGCCTGGCCAACATGGTGAAACTCCGTCTCTATTAAAAAATACATATAAAAATTAGACAGGCGTAGTGGCACGTGCCTGTAATCTCAGCTACTTCGGAGGCTGGGGCATGAGAATCACTTGAACCCAGGAGCCAGAAATTGCAGTAAGCTGAGACGGCACCACTGCACTCCAGCCTGGGTGACAAAGCAAGACTCTGTCTAAAAAAAAAAAAAAAAAAAAAAGTATGATACAGTTGTTAACCAAAGATACATTTGTCATTCTTTCAAGCAACAAATACAAAAAATAAACGATTAAGAAACCCTGGCCGCATGCTGTGACTCACGCATGTAAACCCAGCACTTTGGGAGGCCAAGGGGGGCAGATCACAAGATCAGGAGATCGAGACCATCCTGGCTAACACGGTGGAACCCCATCTCTACTAAAAATACAAAAAATTAGGTGGATATGACGGTACACACCTGTAATCCCAGCTACTCGGGAGGCTGAGGCAGGAGAATCACTCAAACCCAGGAGGCAGAGGTTGCAGTGAGCCAAGATTGCACCACTGCACTCCAGCCTGGGCAACAGAGCAAGATTCTATCTCAAAAAAAAAAAAAAAAAAAAAGGAAAAAAAGGAAATTCTATGCACATGTGCAAAAACACTTGACCTTTTATATGACAAAATTACAACAGATAAAGACCACACTGAGATTTGCTTCTACATTTCTTCATTGAAAGTTTTAAAAGTTTAATATTGTGACTAGTATTGTCTTCACAAATACACATTTTCTCCACTTATAGCCAAGAGATCATTTAACTGTTTTGCTATTGTAAATAATACCCCCAATAAACATGTACTGATAATAATTTTTTCTGCATTTTGGATTGCAAATAGTCATACTGAGTGAAATTATTCTTCATGTGCATTTTAGAAAATCCTTTTCCCAGCAAATCATTCTAACCATCCTCCCACCCCATCCTGCTCCCTGTCCCCCAACTTTCGGTTCTGGGGCCTTGTTCAGTTGTGGCTACACTAAATATTCACTCATTCGAACAATATTTATTGGAGACTTACTATGGGTCTGTGCTATATGCCAGGGAGACAGTGGTAGAAAAGGCAATCATGGTCCCTACATCTATGGAGCTTACATATTGACAGAGATGAGAGAGAGAGATCAAGTAATTGCAAGTTAAATATTTACTCTGGAGAAACAAATGAGGTGCTGAGATAAAGACTAATAGACATGCACTCATGTATATTAGTGGTGGTCACCAGGAAAGGCCTCTCTGACATGACATTTAAGCTGAAACTGAGAACAGGGAATAGCTAGCCATGCTACTGTGGGTAGAATAGTCCAGTCAAAAGAAACTGTATGTGCAAAGGCCCTGTGGTGGGAAGAGTTCTGGTAGAGAAACTGAAGGAACAGTGCAGCTAGAACTGAGGAAACAGTGGAGAGAGAGGCAGGATTCAATAGTAAAATGCTTTGTAAGCCATTCTAAGAAGTTAGGGTTTTATTTTCATTGAAATGGATGGTTTTAAGCTGGGCAGTTACCAGATTATTGTTTTAAAAAGATCTCTTTTGCTGTTGAGTGAAGAAACAATTAAAGGAGCAAGAGTGGAAGTGAGAAGACCAATTAGAAGGTTGTGGTGGGCTCCAGGCAAGTGATGGTACAAAATTGGACTAAAGTGGGATTGTGGAGATGGTGAGTAAAGGACATTTATTTGGAGGTAAGCTCTGTGGGATTCCCTGATATGAGGGATGAGAGAGTGAAGAAAAGGGAGGAATCGAGGATGACTCCTAGGTTTCTGGCTTGAGAAATGGAGGGAGTAGTTATATAATTTACAGACATGAGTAAGACTTGGGAAGTGAAGAAAAGATTGCTCAGGAGGCCACTGAAGTGGCTTGAGGATCCCCTCAAGCAGTTTCCCAGGATCCCCCTCTAAGGAAGCTGGCCAAGGGGAAACTATGGGACCAACACCCAGTTTTCTCTTCGTATGTCCATGATCTCTCTTCTTTGGGAATCTTCTCCCCAAAACTAGGCTATGGGGTGCAATCATCTTCCCAGTTATGTAACTCAAGACCACAGCCCCTCTTGACTCCTCTTTCTTGCTACCTACATTACTTTTCAGGATTTCGCTGAATCACAAAAGGAAAACAGAAAGATAATAAAAACTTTTATTTTATTTATTTATTTATGAGATGGAGTTTTGCTCTTGTTGCCCAGGCTGGAGTGTAGTGGCGCGATCTTGGCTCACTGCAACCTCCACCTCCTGGATTCAAGTGATTCTCCTGCCTCGGCCTCCCAAGTAGCTGGGATTACAGGCACATGCCCCCACTCCTGGCTAATTTTCATATTTTTGGTAGAGATGGGGTTTTGCCATGTTGGCCAGGCTGGTCTTGAACTGCTGACCTCAGGTGATCCACTTGCCTTGACCTCCCAAAGTGCTGGGATTACAGGATGAGCCACCATGCCCAGTCAGAAAGATAATAAAAACTTTTAAAATTCTAATTCCTGTTTCCTTTATTTTATTCAGTCATGCTAAACAGAGGCCCAAATGGGTTCTGTGCCTTGAGACTTTATTTCTGAGAGGGGACTTACTATGGTCTGAATGTTTATGTTGCCCCAAAATTCATATGCTGAAACTGAACCCCCAAGGTGATGGTATTAAGAGGTGGAGCCTTTGGGAGATAATTAGGTCATGAGGGCAGAGTTCTTATGAATGGGATTACCAGATACTGAATCTGCTAGCACCTTGATCTTGGACTTCCCAGCCTTCAGAATGGTGAGCAGTAAATGTCTGTGGTTTATAATTTACCCAGCCTAAGGTATTTTGTGATAGCAGCCCAAACAAACTAAGCAGGACTTCACCAATTTCTCCATCTCAAATCCTCTTATCCTTCCCCTTCCCCTTGGAACTAAGCCCTAGGTCTGACAGACTGTTTTCTCCTGCCACACTTCACTTCATACAGTGCAGGCTTGTGAGGCCACCAAGTGCCTTCTCTTCTTATGTTTGTGTATTCATTTCCTAGGGTCACCATAACAAATTACCATAAATTGGGTGGCTTTACACAACAGAAATTTGTTCTGGTGGTTAGATGCCCAAAATCAAGGTGTTGGAAAGACCACACTCCCTCCGAAGTGTCTAAGGGAGAAGTTGTCATTGCCTCTTCTAGCTTCTGGTAGCCCAGGTATTCTTTGGCTGGAGGCAACATCATTCAGCCTGGCCTCCAACTTCACATGGCAGTCTTCCCTCTGTGTCTGTGTCCAAAATTCTCTCTCCTTGTAAAAACACCAGTTATATTGCATTAAGAGCCCACCCTTTTTCAGTATGACTTCATTTTCGCTTAACTAATTACTTCTGCAATTATTCTATTTCCAAATAAGGTCACATTTTGTAGTACTGGGAGGCTAAGGCTTTAACGTATATATTGGGGGGGATGCAATTCAACCCATAATGGTAAGAAATTTACATTTCTTTTCATTACAGACCCCGTGACATCTCTACAGTTTCCCTACACACAACCCACAGTGGACCACAGTGGATTGGCCCCATTTGGGCATTCCTTCTATACTAGCCTAGTCTCAGAAACTTCATTGAGTCCTAGAGGTGAAGGATCTGTATAGCTCATCTCACACTGTCATATAATCAGGGTACTTGCAAATTTTCAATATGAAAAATAATTATTAGACATGCAAAATGTTTGTGTTGGCTTGATCACTGCATTTTTTCCCCATGTAGGCAAGCTACATGGACATCAAATTATCAGACAGTTGCTTGGAGAGAATGGAAGAAGCTGGAGGTCGGGGAATGGGAGTTTTACAACTTGGACATTTGGTAGCATCCCAGGACTACAAGAAGAAGACAGAAGGGTGTCCATCTTTGCTCAGTGCTTAGATGAACGCTGCTAGCCTTGTCTCTGATGTGTGATTTTTACCTCCTTGGCTGACCAAATCCTCCCCTGCCCTTTCTTTGTTAGGTACATATTGTATCTTTGATCTGGTTAATGTCCATTCTTATTGCCTGGGGAGCCACTTGACTGCTTTAAGGCACTTGCTAATCTCTGCTCTGATCCATTAGGAATTCATTTAGAGTTTAACTCTCTGAGGGCAACTTCATTTCTAAGGCTTGAGGACCACAGTGCAGTAACAAACAGAGCAGAGAAAGGTAGAGGTCCCAGCAAAGGGGGCTGCCTCATTGGGACAGTATACTGCAAACCCTCAGGAAGGTGGGAGGATAACAGGAAGACCCTAAGGAAATGAGAGACTTAGGGTGAGGGTGAAAACAGGAAAAAGGAAGAGTGAATGCCAACCTTCACTTTGCAATTTTCCCTAGAGCCAATTCTGACAGTATCCTCCTGCCTCTTTTCAAAGAGCAGGCGGCAAAAACTGAGATGACAACAATTTTTTTTTCCTCTGTAAAGCTGGGCTCAATTTGAGACAGAATATTAATGGCAAAAGGCTCAATATCTCATTATCAATCCCCATGGGCATATAGTCCCCAGAAAAGATAAATATTTGACTAGATGATAACATGTGCGATAATTTATAGTCAGCATTCCACATGCATTTTCACTGAATCTTTTATTTGCAACTAGTACTTCGGAGTGGCCTATACAATTATTTACATATATATTTTAAATTCTGAACTCAGGATCTGAGGATCATTAAGCCCATATAAGTCTTCAAAAAAAGAGCAGTTTCCTTATTGATTTACCCAGGACAGGCAACAGAATGTCTACATTCTTTCCCTTTATCTTTCAGTTCATTGAGTAAAAATAGATTGAGGCTTACCCCAGTTTTCTCAAAATCTTGCTTGAAGGTGAACATGAGGTCACCTTAATGGCTATCAAAACCATTTCTTACTGCCAAGCTTGAAAAATGTTTCCCACTTCTCTGAAATTCTGTCTTTGGGGGAACTTTAACCTCTTTCTAACTTCTAATTAGCTTTTCTTCAAGGACAAGAGTTCAGTGGAAAGTGAAAACAAGTCAGAGAGGCTGCGTGGGGCACCTAGGTTGCAAAAGTAATGGGACTCCTTTCATCTCTTCCTCTGTGCTAATTCTAGGGATTAATACTGTTGTCTGTAAAATATCCTTTGAAACCAAGCCTCCTAAAGAAGGTATTGATGTATACAAGCAGACACAATTCCCAGATGGGCTACTGGCTGATTTATGCTGATCCATGCACCTACACCCTCACAGATTTGTCTTCAATGACAACTCTTATAAGATGAGTCATTCTTACATGGACTCTTCATAGACAGCCTATTATAGATCCTTCCAAATCCCTCTAGTCAGTGCATTCTGGAGTCAAGTACTTTTCCACTAGGTGGGGGAATGTTTTTCTAGTGGAAAAGGAATCTTCCATTCCTTTGGACATGGGTAACAATGACTGGCAGAAAATGTGTTGTTTCAAAAGACTGCATTGCAAAAGCTCTTTATTTTCACATTGCTAAAAGATGCAGTTAAGTGGATTTTTTAAAAAATTAAGGAGAAGTCTGTTCTCAAAGATAAATGTATCCTTTGATTCATTCAACAAATATTTGTTTAGTAGCTACTCGGAAGATACTTTTAGGATACTTTCTCCATTACTTTTCAAGTAACAAATCAATGTTTGTAGGAAGAGGCACTAGGTTTAAAGTATAACTTTAACTCTCATGGAGCTTACATTCTGTTGAGGAAGATGGATAATAAGGAAGTGAAGGCACAAATAAACCTAACAGCTTCCAGTAGCGATAGGTTTTGGATTTTTTTAAAGAAATGAATAGGATAATTGGAGGGTAACTGGGTGATAGCCTTTGGATGTTTGTCTCCTCCAAATCTCATGTTGAAGTGTGATCCCCGGTGTTGGAGGTGGGGCCTGGTGGGAGGTGTTTGGATCATGGGGATGGATCCTTCATGAAGGGCTTGCTACCATTCTTGTGTAATGAGTGAGTTTTTCACACTATTAGTTCACAAGGCAGCTGGTTGTTTAAAATGAGTTTGGGACCTCCAGTCGTCCTCTCTCTTGCTCCCTCTCTCACCATGTGACGTACCTGCTCCCCCTTCATATTCTACCATGATTGTAAGTTTCCTGAGACCTCACCAGACGCCAAGCAGATGTTGGTGCCATGCTTGACAGCTTGCAGAACTCTGAGCCAAATAAAACTCTTTTCTTTATAAATTACCTAGTCTCATGTTTATGGTTAAGGTAACTCAAGTTCGAACTATTAATCATATACAGTCTGTTATGCTAATCCCTTTTAGATGTTCTTTCTACTAAGTTGAATAATTTTCCTTTTCCACTTTAAGTTCTTCTGCAAACTGCTACTGAGTCTATGTATGTAATTTTTCCTGGTTGGAATTAAAAATGTTAGCATTTATTACATGATAGGGTTTTATAAGCTACTTCTTGTTTATTTAGGATACTCTTTAATGTTAATTTAGTGTTTGAAAAGTAAGAAATGACATTGAAATAATTATTAAAAGGAAGTTTTTTTTTTTAATAAATCCGTATGTTTGATAAATTTGGAGAATTTCTTATTTGGCAAATTATCATTAGGTAAATTAAATTTCTGTAAATTGGCATTTGGCAAGTTGATTTTCAGATAATTCTCTCAGCAATTATTCAGTTTCCATTAATGAAGAAAGAACATTATGAAGAAAAAACAAAAAATAAATAAAATAAAATAAAAATAAATTTAAAAAGAAAACAAAAAAAGAAAGAACATTGACATAAATGTAGAAAATGTATATTGAATTCAAGCCTTTACTTTTTGAGAGAAACCTGCTTACAGATTTAATTTGGTTTTAAAACTTCCAATCATCGAAGTTGTCGGCATCTCTTTATATACGGTTTTATCAAATTAAAAAATGTCATAGTTTCTGCTATTCTTTCAGGGCAGCCTTTTTTAAAAAAAAAAATGCTTCCTCTCATAAATAATATTTTCCTAGGATGAAAACTCAATTACTAAGGAGAAGAGTTAACTTCAATTCAACAGAGACATGCTTTATTAGTGCTTCTCAATGCCTTCCAGGAGTTTTTCTCCAATAAAGTTCCTGGTATACTCCCGGATGACTACCCAAAATGCAGTTACAATTGTGGGATTTTATGATTTAAAAGTAATTTAAAAATCAATTCCCTTTGCCATTTACTCTAAGAGACAATTATTGCCTGGTATTGTTTTGAAATGTGGTCAGATAAAAGAAGCTTTCTCTGGCCCTCTCCATCCACCAAGTCAGAGGTTACACTTTCCACTCACTCAAGTTCCATTTTATGAGAATGGCAAATATTTTTGGTATGTCTTTGCTGTTTCTCTTCTTTTTCCCCTCCCTTTCTGAAGCAATGCTAAGAAGTTGCTTGTGAATTTTTGCTCTTTGTATTCTACATTTTGCTCAAGTATTTCTTTTATTGTCCCTGTCTGCATTTTACTTTTCTGCACAAATACAAATTAAAATGAGTATATTTTAAGAAAAGTAGGAGCAGTATCATCTTTACAAAGGAATAAAATATGCTTGAAATTCCAGGGTCTTTCCTCACCCAGAATAAAGCAGAATGATAGATTATTTGAGTTAGACACTTTGACTTAGAAGACAAACATTTCCTCTAAATGGGTGACTTCAAATTTCTCATTATTCTATTATAATATTTTGGGGGTAACACAGGTTTTTTAATAAATAAATAAGTCCACTAGTGGGTAGGCTAAATAATGCCCTCCCCCTAGATGTCCATATCCTAATCCCTGAAACCTGTGAATTTGTTATCTTACATGGCAAAGGCTCTTTGCAGATGTGGCTAAATTAAGGAGTTTGCAATGGGGAGATTATCCTGGGTGGGCCCAGTGTAGTCAAATGGGTCCTTATACTAGGTAAGAAGGAAGCTCAATGTCAGAAAAGAAGATGTGATGATGAAAGCAGGGTTTGGGGTGATGCCACTTCTGGAAGGGGGCCCTGAACCAAGGCACGAGGACAGCTTTTGGTACCTGGAAAAAACAAGGAAGTCAGTTCTCTCCTAGAGCCTCCAGCAGGAACGCAGCTTTGCCAACCCACTGGTAACTTCTGACTTCTGTAATGAGAACAAGGTTGTGCTGTTTCAAGTCACTAACTTTGTTGCATTTTGTTTATAGCAGCAGTAGGAAACGAATACAACCAGAATGTAAGAGGAACTTTCCATTGGAGTCCTTTTTAAAGAGTATGGCCTCTTTAAAGAAATACTCTTTTTGGACTGTCCTAAATTGTTTATTAGGAATGAATTTTACAATCTTTACTTATATCAGCGGTAACGGTGGAGCTGATATAAGAGTCTTGTGTCTTCTCCACGCTGCACAGCGAGAACCACCAACAGTGTGGTGGAACTTATGACCCTTTCCAAGGCCACGGCTCTTTTGGCCTGCAAATGTCAGCCCACACATCTCCCTGTGCTTGTGGATTGGTTTGGTGATCCACTGGGTGTCAGGATTTCTTCTGATGGCTTTATGGAATGGATCAATGAGGATAACCTCAAAAAATCTGTATGTGGAATCTTTACCAACCCAGTAAGAATTCTAGGACTGTTAGAGCCCCACAGTGGCATTTAGCTCACTCCTCTGCAACGGACTGAAGGTTTTGGGCAAACTTTAGCTGGTTAACACCATGATGGACAGGCTTGCTGTAAGTTGCACCCTTAGGAACTGGGCGTTTTCGGCCACCACGATACACACGAATCCTACATATAACATAATCTTGCTTGGCCTTGTAGCCCAGTCAGCCCGCTTTACGGGGCCTGGTGCGGTGGGGCCTGGTGGAGTGGTGAGCCCTGTGGACAGCAGAGAGCTTGCGGTACTGCCAGCAGTGGACCCTCAAGAGAAAGTGTATGACATCACACTGCTTCTTCCTCCACAGCTCCTGGATGTACTTGTATGCACCGACCTTGGTTTAATGGATGGCTGCTGCCAGGTGGAAAGGAAAGAGCTTTTCTCCACTAAAGAAATATTTTTACACTTTTTTTGAGGGCATTTTTAAAAAAATTAACCCCTCCACAGTTACTTCTTATAAATTCTCTTTCCTTTGGGAATTTTTGCTCCCAAGAGAAACAGTACAACCTTAGAGCAACTGAGCAAAGTTAGGCCGACTCGGAGAAGTTAGGCCAAGTTGAAGCACCACACCAGGGCTCAAGCAATTAAAAGACCTAAGGCTTCAGGTCATGGTTGGATGTGAGATCTCAAATTCTATTATTAGGTTGTTTTTCTCCTCTCTGCTCACAAACAAGCTCTCTTCCACATGCCAAGCATGATGGCCATGAAATTCAATACACATCCAATTAACTTAGGAACTCCCTGAGGAAAGAGGACTCAGGATCACTATGGCAGAAAGGTCCCAGGAGGACTCCAATTGACCTAGCTTGGATCACATGATCAAGTTAGATTCATCACTGTGGCCAGGGAGATGATATACCCTGATTGGTTGGTCTGAGAGATAGCATACTCTGATTGGCTGGTCTGGGAGATGAGCCTGCCCCGTGGCAGGAAGTTGGGTCAGCTTTAACCAAACCTCACAGAATGGGTTCCCCATAGAAATTAGAGAGTTAAAAATTAAATATCAATGAAAAGCAGAGATAAAGACCATGTCATTGTGGAGGGGGAGAGAGAGAGAGAGAGAAAAAAAAAGACTCTCTTATGACTTTCTAGTTCTTGGATATAATGCTTCATGACACCTAGCCACATTGCCTGTGGATTCAGGAGTATCCTGCATGCTTCTGACAAACTCTCTCATTTCTTAAGTCAAGAGTGTTTATATTCTTGGCATCTAAATAATTCCCAACCAAGAAAGACCAAAGTAATATGTCTTTAATGAACCAACGTGTCAGGTGATGTTTTATTGATAACAGTATTTTTGATACCTGTGATGGAATTCTTTTCCCCAGTAATAGCCCCCTGATTTTCTTTGGGGCAACACTCTGGATTCCCTTGTTTTGGATAAGCCTGGTCAAGCCAAAGTTCTGGGCATGGGATAGGTGATTCAAGTCTGCCAATCAGCCTGGGGCCACAGGGATTAGTTCAAGGGTGGGCAGTTGATCCAAGGTCCAAGATTTTTTTGTGGAAACCATTGAGACTCCTTCCGCTGAGCTTGAAGCTTTGAGGACATAAGAGACTCTGGAATCCATCTTACCAGCATGAAGGCAAAGCTTGCCTGAGGATGAAAGAAAGAAGATCAGAAAGTGAAGGTAAGACAGCTGACCCCTGAGGATGTAGCCTGAGCATACGGATCTAACTGTGTGCTTAACCAACTCCTAGACTTTCAACTATGTAAACCAATACATACTCTTTTGCGCTTACACTAGCTTAGGTTAGATTTCAGTCACTTACCACAGAAAAAGTTTTTACCAATATTTTAATTTATATATTGTTTCAGTTATATTTGCATCTGTAATGTATTGCTATGCAACAAATCACCCCTAAATGTAGGGTCTTAAAATAACAATGATGTTTTCTTTCTGTGATTCTGTGGGCTAAACGAGTGAGCCTCCTGTTGGCCTTGCTTAGGCTCACCCGTGAGTCTGCACCCCACTGGTATACCAGGTTAGGGATGGGCTTCGCTCAGCATGAGGTCAACCATCCTCAAGGAGGCTAGACTATTCCTCTTCACATGGCAATGACAGGGCAGTGTTCAGGGGCACACATCAATATACAAATGCTTACCAGACTTCTACTTATATCATGTGTGTAGATGTCCCATTGGCCAAAACACATGTTGTGACCAATCCTAGCGTCAGTGATTCATGCTATAAAGTAGCATGAATAAAAGAAGGATGATACATTGAGATCATTTATGCAATGATTTACCAGATTCTTAAAAAATTTCTAAGTGCTTCTCTGTGCATTAGCTTATTTAAGCATCATAATAACCCTGTGAAATACTCAAAATCAATATCAATTTTGTGTCAGGCTCCAATTAGGAGAGAGAAATACCGTCAGAAATTTAAACAGAAAAAAGTGTAATATAAAGAGTTATCAATTGGTAATAAGGAACTGGCAACTGGGAATGGGAGGAGATAAAAGAGAACTCTGAAGACTAACCTAAGAGTCGGGGAGAGTGACCAAGAAAAGAACAAACTTGGAAGGTAGGCCGAGTTTCACACCTTGTGGCAGGCAGGAGGAGCACACCTGTGGCCCACTGGATAGAGGAGAGGTTTGCTGAGTTGTCCCGGGC